GTACACCAGATATAAGAGTAGCCAAACTTGAAGAAAGAGGTATATTACACAGGTTCTCAGTGTGACATGAAAGGATACATTTTACTACATATAACTGAAAGAAATATTAGAAATATAAACTTTGGAAACAATCCCTTAGGATATAGTAATTGCACTATAGTAATCACTGACTCAGGAATACAAGAGTAAATTAAACAAAACAAAACCCTGAAATCTATGCTTGAAATTGCTCGTAGAGGTATCAAAAGGAAACAGAAATGTATCCAGAAATGTCTTTGTACAGAAAATGTGTTTTTAAAACATTTGAAATTTATTAGAAGACAAATCATTTTAAAACTTATATTTGTTTCTGAGTTTTAATTTTTACCTACCCATATGATATATATTTGCACCACCACTTTACAATCATACGATATTCCTACATTAATATGCATATTGTATCATCCATAGTGATTATGTGATAAACTGCATAAGAAAAAATAAGTACATAAAAATTTAAAAATCTATTTGTTTTAAGAAATATATCAAATGCAGTTGTAAGCAATCTTAATAGAGGTAAAACTAGGTTTCATTTTTTTTTATGTTAACTGAAACCATTTTAAGTGACCTGCTGTTCTATGAATATAGTAACTAAAGTTACATCTTAGCTTTACTCTCTTAATCTAATCAACTCTCTGGTAGAAAACAGCCCTTCAACTCTGATCCAGGCAATCTAGAAGCCTCCATACAAATTAGAAGAGAAAAAGTAAAAAAAAAAAAATCTGAGTAATTAGAGACTAATATTTAAAATAAAAATATGATAAATATGAATTCTTGCTGATGCTCCTAATAACTGATGATACAATCAAATTTAGTTTTGAGTGAAGCACTCAAAGGCCAGATGTTTAAAATATGAAATAAATAAAAGTGCTGACAAATTGTTAAGATACCAAACAGACATCTAATCTTGTACCTAACATGGTTCAATACCTATATAATCTGTCATATATTCAAATAAGGAGGAGAATATAGCAGGCACTTAATAGTTTGGAATTAGCTATAAAGTGATATAGCTTCATAGATCATTTCCGACCCTCTGAGTAATGGCCATGATACAAAATAATATTAAAAATGCTAAGGTTCTTAGTTTTAGGAAACTGTTTTCCTCTCCCGTCTTCCATTAAGTAGAAAATGTGTCGCAATGAGTTTACACATTTAAAATAAAATTTGAGGTCTTATTTCTAATTTGATAGCCTGATTAAAATTTATAGAGAAGAAAGGCCCACCTATCTTTAAAACTTATCTTTTAAAAATCAAATATGTCCAAGGAGAAGAATCACTTCATTTCTATTTATCCACTAACTCATCTCAAATTTGTGGTTCCAATTTCCTTACCTAATACCCAGGAAAAAATGGTCCACTATTCTTTAGTGACATAAACAGAGTTCTCCTTTATTAAACTTTTTAAACATGTTCATCAAATACTTATATTTAGTGACCGATTTTTTCTAGGAAAAAATTAAGATATTAAAAGTTTTGGATTAATTTAGCAAAGGATAATCAGCCATTACTTATGTGGGGTAGACATTCATTACCAAGCATTTATTGAGCATAAAATGTGCTAGGAACTGTGGAAATAAAAACAAATAAGATATCACTAAGTGGGCCCGTAATTACCTCCAACAAAGAACATCCATCACAAAGAGATAAATACCTTAAGAAGATCTTACATTTCCAAGTCAGAGTTTCAATTTAGCCTTTAGCATTTAATTGCTAAATAACATAAAGAAATATATTTTAAATTGGAAACTTCTCAGGTAATTTTTAATTAAATTTAAAACATAGATGGCAAAAAAGGAAACACTATTTATAAAAAGTCCATAAAATACTGTAAATTATCTTTCTCTTTAAGACCTTCACAATTTTTATATTTCCCATATCTAATGGAAATAGTTCATGCTAATCATTTTAGAAAAACATGTTTCAACAAATTCAATTTTCTTGTCCCACATATTCTAGAAATAATTATAAACAAAAACCGAACACGTACATTCTCTGAAAGGTAAAGTAATAATAATAAGCATTTATTGGAACATATTTACCAATTGGAACCCTTAATTCAGAACCCATGTATATGTATCCTCTGCATGTATTACTAAATTATATCACTACCCCACTATTTTATACAGAAATAATTTACTTTCACTCAGCTATTATTACAAAGTCCCTAATGAAGCAGAATGGGCTTTTTACCATGCACAATAAAGGAAAAAACTTAGATACAGAAGTACTAAATTACATGCCAAAGGAAGGCCTAAGAAAAACTTGAGGCAAAACAGAAAACAACAGTTGGAACCTACTATTACAATTAACTGGTAAGTGGAATGTAATTTTCTAGTGATAGTAAAAAATTATACATGTAAATTGTCATACACACACATATATATAAAGAACTGGAAAAGAAGAAGGAATTTTTTATATAGCCTGAATTACATAGAGAAGTGTGGTTTCAAAATCAAAGCTGTTAAACAGCAGGTTCTAGTGAGTCATGTTTGTTTGTTCAAAGACACTTGAGAAATAAATATGGTGCATTCAGAGCTTATTAATTAAATTGTGTCCCAAGTTTAATTTTATAAGAGAACCTAATAGACATATATAATAAATATAATGTAATCTGATTAAGCACTGAAATATATCTTTAGAGAAAATAAAGTCTAATTTAAAATGTCTTAAAATAAAAGTTACCAAAAAAAATTTCATGTGTACATATTTAAAATGCAAATTAATCAGAAAAGTGTGGACTTTTTAGGGAATTTGCAAACAATGATGGTGCCACTTACAAAATAAAAGAGATGTTAAGGGGAATGGCAGATATTATTAGCTTATTACCTTTTTAAACATTAAATTCTACATGAATTGAAATTCTGCTTTAACTGAAGAGCAATAGTGCTTACACTGACTGTGTATTTTTTTTATATATAACAACCACATTATAACTATAAAAAATTTTATGGCATTGTTTTATATCTAGCTTAATTTGTCCCCAAAAACTTTAATAATAATATTTATAAAACTTTTTAAGTCCCTCTCCATTACCTCTTTAAATCCTTTGCAGAAAATCTGTGATGTTATCTTTTTAACAAGGTAAAACCAAGAAAGAAGGTTTTGTATATCCATCATTTCTATACTATCAAAAATATCTTTACCTTCTACAAGACTTTCACAGAATCCCAGTCACTGGCATGTTATAATAATGCAATTAGGAATGAAAACTTTATAATAGAAACTAATTCATTAGTGAAAAGAAAGACTAATATTATTCAAAAATATTATCAGAAATCAAAGATGGTACCTATTTTTTTTTAATACAACTAAAATACGTATTGAAGATGCTTTTGTTATAAAACATTTTTTTAAATAAAAAATGTATTTATTTCCTGGATTGTTTCTTTCAAATACATGACCAAATAAATAATAAAACCTGGTAAAAACGTATAGGTCTTGTAGTAAAAAGGTCTACTATTTTAAAAATAAATAATAGAGTAGATATTTCCATAGGTTTAGTTAATTAAAAAGAAGATAACCAACTCTCTAAGTTTTTAAGTATTGTTTCAAATTGATGTGATCAACAACACCAACTGCAACTCCAAGGAAATTGCCCCTAGACTAAATTTTTGTCCACTATATAAGATTGTTTTTATCCTTTCATTTATTAATTTTTGTCATTTTATTGTTTGATGCATTCCACTATGCTATGCTTATGCTTGGAATTTCTTTTCTAACATAAATCAGAAAACTACATTGTGGTCAGAATTATTTATGAATATCTTCTATTAGAACTGCTTTACCCTAAATTTAAATGAGTTTAATCTCAGGAGAGCTCTCAAGACATTCCAAAAATACGGGCCAAATGTTACAGACTTTCTTGACTTTATTAAAGCACTTTGTATTTCTTCACTATAATTTTAATTTTCTCCTTATCTTCTTTATTGATAGTATAAAAAAACTCATAAATTTAAAACTTCTTGCCTTTATTTGATGCATTAAAACAATAGAAGTTATATTTTAAGTGACAAATAAATGACATCATTTTAGAACCAAATATTTAAAATATAAAATAGTACTAATATCTGTTTTATCAATTTACTGCTTTTGAAACATTTCATTTCTGTGCCCTCAGGTAATTTAATAGGGGTTTATAAAAAGATAATTTTGCAAGAAATGAGAAAGTGTTCCCTTGACATACCAGAAGATTACTTATGTCACTATCCTTTGATTGATGACTCTTAAATGAGGTCTCCTTAGTTCACCCACCCACTCCTCCAGCTCACCCAGGGCTTTGAGCAGTTTTTCATCTCAGCAAAAGAAGCAAATGGCTAAAATTAGCAGGGTCTGGACCATCAGGAATAGTCACTGTGCAACATCAGCTGAGATTCCTGATTAGCAATATGTCTGCTTTAAAAAAAAAAAAAAAAGTACCAAAACAAAACAAAGAACAAAACAAAAAACAAAGTAAAATCTATCTAGGCCATCTTTTCACCTTTCTTTATTTCATAAGAGAGAAGCATTTAACACATTTGTTTTGATAAACAGTAAAGAACTACCGATGAAGCTCTTATCAATAAAAAAGTATCTCTATCTTACCATTATTACTAATAAACTTCAAGTTTTATAGCATGCTAAGAAAACGTGGTAATTTTATTGTTTAACGAGATAAAACATAATAATCTTAGTACATAGTGTTTGGATTAAATTGTTTCTGTGGCCCTTATATGCAGAGTATTGTCAACTTCTCTTGTGCTCAATTCAGATTATTGCTCCTAATTACATCTAACTCCAGAGAATAACCAAGTGTGGCAGGTTAGTAAGTGGGTGAAATCTCCTTCTGAAGTATTCTTTCCACTAAATAAGGTTTTTAAAAAGGCCCTGTACTGTGATTTCCCTCCCATTATATCTGTGATGAGAAAATGATGAAATGCAACCTTAATGCCCTAAAGACAAGGTCTCAGCATCCAACTTACCTGACCAGATTTTCATTGTCTCCCGTTCCCTTGCAGGTTGCACACTCAGTTCGTAAATCTTCAGCCTTGGGCTTCTTTTGTAACACAGACTGCCTCTGTCTTCTCTCTCTAGGAACTCTTTCCTGCCATCCCAGGGAGAACAAAACAAAACATTAAAAAAAAAAAAAATCAGGCTATCAGAAAAAACAATTTTATGCAAAACTTTTTCAAAGTTTAGACTGTGTAAAAAATGCTTAACTTATTCCAACCTCATGTTTTTCTTCATCAGGAATGAAGCTTCTTTTTCTTCCTCTGGTTCTCTAAAAATAAAAAAAAAAATCTATAAAAATATCTAATGTTTAATTAATGATAAAAATTATTTTCTGTTAAATAATATTGTTTAGGTAAAGCACTTGCAAAATTAGTATTTCTAATTAAGATTTATTGCTCTATTGCACTGTTATAATTTATGTCACAGGAAATAAAAACATGACAAATTAAACATACTTTGCAGTGCTCTACTTTTAAATAACACAAGTATCTGATAGGGAAAAAAAGTTATCCAAAATTAGTTTGAAGAATTTTTTCAATACTTCATATATATCACACAATTATGATTTATGCAGAGAATTTAAATTTTCATAACTTATAATATATGATTTCTACAGCTGAAATACTAAACCTAGATTCATACTACCTCTGCCATAAGCCCTTGTATGTGTGTGTGTGTGCATTCATGTTTGTGTAACATAAACAATTTTAAACAGCCATAAAAAAAAAAAAAAAAGGAAGGAACTGATCTTAGATGTCCCTAAATCCTAATTAAAATAAAACTAACCATGATATAAATGACTTATTTTAAGCTTATTTAATTAAAATTTACATCCTATATTTTAGAACACATTTATCACTTGAAAGACAACACCTAAATGTTGAAGAGTAATTGAGTATGATATACAGAAGTATTTACAACTGATATGTTAAAAATCTCCACCCACATAGCACAGCCTCTGGAAACCTTTAATTCCATGTGTAGATCACTACTCTTCAGAGAATGAAAGAGAATGGAGGCACCACTCCCACAAATTACTGTATTGAGATCCTAGGTTAGAGTAGTTACCAAATCATTCTAAATAGAATTGCTGTCCAACATAAATACATTGATGTCTTCCTAAACTATTGTCATTTCAATTCACAATACTGAGTCCCTTGTTATTTTAAAACCACGGCTCACTGCATACTATTTAATCTGCCCCTAGATAACCAAGACTTGACTGAATTAATCATTCAAAAGAAGTCCATTTATAAACTATTTCTTTACATTTGTACTGCCAATTAGTATGTTTTAATCACAGTATGTAAGGAATTAGGAAGAAAAAGTAAGACCGTATCAGAAAGTCTTTAAATGCAGGACCTACATCTATTCTCAATCCCAAAGAAGAGTACTGAGCCTTGCTCTTCAAAATACCAATCATGGCTCATAAGCACTGGCCTTCTCCAGGAGCTTGTTGGAAATGTTGAATCTTAATTCTTACTAGATACAGAATTGGAATCTGCTTTTTCACAAGATCCCCAAGTAAGCCACACACACACATCAAAGTTTGAGAATATCAGAGCACAAGAGTCTGTAATATTGACAACACTTATCTAAGATCTAACTAAAACTTTTTGTCTAGCTCTTCACATACCCATGCTTCCCTTCTGTAACATGCCTGTCCTTTATGCTTCAATTTCTGTCCCCTAACACAATTCATCCCCAAACTGGTAAGGATTATGTGATACTCATGTTTCCAAACTCAGCTTACTACAATACGTATTACATAAAGGCTGAATAAATTTGTTGTGATCAAATAAATAATGAATGGTTAGATTGAAATTCATAAATGGCTATGCTGGATAATACAAATGATAATACAAAAATGGGTGAATTATTGTTTTCTTATCTAATAAGCTATTTTTCAATTTGCATAATTTTTGCATAGAGGATATTTCAAAAAGGAGGTTAGAATACCCAATAACAAAGGAAAAATATTTAAATTACTCATTTTAGTTCTATAAACATCTCAGAATGCTCAGAATGCCTTCACACACTCCCATATTTCTCTTCATTCAACCCATCTTTTAGGTATTGAAGTAGCAAATGAATCATTTAGTTTTTGAATCATCTAATCAGTGAATTATTTTTGAAGTATATATGTGAAAGCTCCAAGTTCACATTTTCAATTCTTTTGAAGATATACAATTATTTATAGTTTCTAATTAATACTTTAAATCTCTAAGCATCTGGAATGACTCCATCAGTCGGAAGTTTTTCACACTCATACTGCAATTAGTATCATAAGGCACAATACTGCCAATAAGTGATCCTAACACACAATGACAGTTACATTTCTCTATATTTATAATTTCCTTCTTATATAAGTATGCATATATTTAAGTTAAGTGCTATTTTTAAAGTGAATAAATGTATTTATTATTATCTAAAACAGTCCTTTTAAATTAAGTGCGTTTATTACCAAATAGTAATCATTGATGTTTTCCTGTAATAATTTTAAATAACTAGCCATAAGCAACATAAACAATTTCCAGCCAGAAAAACATTGCTATAAGCAATATGAAATGACAGTGCCTTAGAGCTTTGAAAAGGTAGTACAGGAAAGGGACTGATCACACAGCTGATAACTGACAGAGGTAAACTTCAAACTCAAATATCTCAACTCCCAATTCAGTGATTTTTCTTGCATGCCAAATCCAAAATTAATAAATTTAATCCCAAATAGAGAAGAGCAAAATCATCATGAGAAAACAAATCTCTAATTCTCACTTGACTACTTAAACTGTAACATCATAATGCCTAAATGAAGAATTCTTACATTTTGAAGTAAGTAAATTAGAGAATTGAACCCAATGGAGAGACCTTAATACCTCAAATGAATACTATATCCTACCCAATTTGCTACCCTACACAGTATAATGACTACCATGATCTATTACCAAGGAAACTATAGCAAGCTTCTTTAGCATTTATCACATCACTAAGATTTACTAAGAAAAAAAATAATAAGGTGATTTAATCCAAACACAACTCTTCACAATACTAAGTCTTCCATGAAAATGCCAAGAGTTGTTGGTTTCTTTTTAGCTTTAATGAAGTAGCCATGACAAATCACAATCGCCTATGAACATATCTTAAACATGGTGCCCTGAATAAATCGGAAAATATAAGGGGAGTGGAAAAGTGGGAGAAATGATGCAAAAAAGCAAAAAGAAGAACAAACAAAAACATGTTTGGCTCATCCAACAAATTTCAATGATCAAAGATGTATACAAGTATTCATAACCAAGTAGTTATTTCATGATATACATTGAGGCTGACACTATTTTAGAAACAAAATAAAGCAGCAGGGTGTAAATAACATGTGGAAAGAATAAATTTAGTTAACAATTATTTGTCTTAGAACTTAATATAGATACATTATCTAGAAAATTCCAAATGATCAACTGGGGGTTCAATTCCAAATTGTGGTTCCTTTAGCAATTCTTTAGCTAAAAAGGGAGGACATCTGTACTATTTTCAACAATAAAGATAAATTTTTGAAAAAGCAAATGGAAAGTCTGAAACTCGATCCAAATCTTGACACATTACTATTTTTTCTGTTTTGTTATATTTTAAGAACTTTATTTGTCTAGGGAACAACTTAGTCTGAGATGCTTAGATCAACTGGCTCTTCATCTCTCTGTTGTACATTCATTTGAAAACAGGAGGTGATAAAAACATCCACAAAGAGTATGAAATGATATTGTAAAAGAATAAAATATTATTAGTCATCAGGCATTATTTTAATAGTTTATTCATCTGCAACAAATAATTAAATGTTTCAATAACTTCATTTGGACTAGAAAACATGTAACAAATTTAAATTCTGTAGAGCTGGGGTTATTTTAATTTATAATTAAGTTTGATGCAGGATAATTTTTCCAAGGTTAGAATAATTCATTTGACAAATAAACTAAAGAGCATTGACCCATGCACCAAGAGGTCGCTGGTTCAATTCCTGGTCAGGGCACATGCCCAGGTTGTGGGCCAAATCCCCAGTGGGGGGCATGTGGGAGGGGCCAATCCATGTTCTCTCATAATGATGTTTCTATTTCTCTCTCCCTCTCTTTCTAAAATCAATATAGAAAAAAATTAAAATAAATAAATTTAAAACTAAAAGACAGTGCCTTCTCTTCTTTAAAGTCATAAGATGGGTTTCACACATTCATAGGTGCAGCTTTCTCCTTTCTCTAAATTTAACAATATGCCTTTTTTATGACAAATCAACATTTACTAATAAATAAGCCATTATGTAGTCAGATAAAACATAAGGAATGCTTCCATATGTAATTTATATATAAAAGAGAAAATGGTTAGCCCTGGCCGGTTTGGCTCAGCGGTTAGAGCGTCGGCCTGCGGTCCTGAGAGACCCAGTTCGGTTCCCGCTAAGGGCGCGTACCTCGGTTGCAGTTTGTACCCGGCTCTGGTTGGGTCGTGCGGGTGGCAGCCACTCGATGTGTTCTTTTCGCATCGATGTTTCTCTCTCTCTCTGTTCCTCTCTCTTCCTCCCACTCTACCTGAACAAAAAATGGAAAAATGTCCTCGGGTGAGGATTAAAAAAAAAAAAAAAAAAAAAAAAAAAGAGAGAGAAAATGGTTATTCTTGAGCAAAATTTCAAATTCAGTGTTAATTAGGACAATTAAATGAAGCCTTGAAAATCTCTGTAAAGCTAAATATCTTCAGATTTACACTGAGGAATAAATGCCAGCAGCTGTCTGGCAGCTGTTCAAAATGCTTCAATATAAATTTTATATGTATATATAAAGTTTACATACATAGTCTAAAAAAATAAGTCTTTTTTCCCCCAATTATAGAACAATATATTGAAAACAATCATATCTTACGTAAAGCTCATGAAATATGGAAAAGAAAAACGTTACATATATAAACAAGGTTGAACAAAGTGCCATCTGTTTCTGTTGGCTACTGGCATACAACAGATGGACCAGTGAGCTCTGAAAACGAGAGTTTCCCCTTCTCATCAACAGGCTGAAGGGTTTATTTTTATCTAACTTAATGTACATTAACAGGGTTTGGGAAATACATGGAAGAATAAAGAGAAAATTATGACCAGTTGGGTTAATACTGTAAAATAACTACAAACTTAATAATATAAAATAAAATATACACTTTATATAATAAATAGGAAATCTTATAAAATCTTTCTAATGATAATGGTATATTCAAAATAAATAATATCCTGATCTGCCTATTCTTCATTCT